TTAATACATGATAAAAGTGACATTTCAAGTCAGTTGGAAAAAGATGAATTTCTGGTTGGAACACTGCCAGCTGAAAAAATTAAGAGTGGCTCCCTACCTCTCTTTTTACCTTCAGATAAATTCCTGATATATTAAAATCCTACATTTAGGATTAGAATACAATGGACATTAGATCTATGAAAAGATGCTCAGACTTCCTCATAATTAGAGAATAAAACAGCAGCAAATGATAAAGATTTTAAATTGTGACCATACATGGCAAGCATGTGAGAAACATAGGCTTATTCATGGGAGTGAAAATTGATATAAGTCCTAGAGAGAGGAATTTAGTAATAGTTGTCAAAATGTAGGCAATCTTTGACCTAATAATTCCATTTCTAGGAATTTATCCTACATGCTTACTCAAGACAGCAATGATGTATATATGAGCACATTCACTGCAGTGTTGTTTGTAAAGATAAAACATGTTCAATTGAGAACTTGTTTTTAAAATTAGGATACATCCGTACAACAAAATCCTTAAAAAATAGAATTCAACAAGAATGAATATTTTGAAGTAGGACAACTTCCCAAATACCATTAATGAACAAAACAAGCCGGGGTCGGTGGCTCAACCTGTAATCCTGTGCTTTGGGAGGCTGAGGTGAATGAATTGCCTGAGCCCGCGGGTTCGAGACCCACCTGGGCAACTTGGCGAGACCTCATCTCTACAATAAATCAAAAATCAGCTGGGCGTGGCAGCACGCGCCTGTAGTTCCAGCTACTTGGAAGGCTGAGGCGGAAGGATTGCCGGAGCACAGCAGGTCAAGGCTGCGGTGGCTGGGAGCGGCCACTGTACTCCAGTCTGGGCGACAGAGTGACTCCAACTCAAAAAAAAAATGAACAAAACAAGATAAAGAATGGTGTGTATCATATATTATCCATGTGAGAATAAAGAAATTAGTAAGAGATTGCTTTGGGAAAGAGTGGCACGGCTTCAGGTTGGGAGCAGGTAGGCTTTTCTGTATGCTTCTTTGTGCTTCATGAATTACATAGGATGTCCAAAGTTACTTGCTTACAACCTTAACGTTCTAATGGGCGTATAGGATGCCATGCAACAAAGTTGGCTTCATGAAGGGACCCAGGAATACAGGTGCCACTTATGAAAATGGAGTGCCATAGGTAATGGGTGCCAGGAGGTATGGAAACCAAGTTCAGCAAGAGGGAGCTAAGGTCAAAACTAAAAGATGTGGGGCCAAGAAGAAATGGGGAAGAGGCAAAATAAAAGCAGAATTCCAGAGCAAGCATTTAAAAGACAGATGAGATAACGGGAAAAGAGCCTTTAGGAGTTGCTAATGAGCTGAACTTAGGGCTCTGGGTAAGTATTTATAAGTAATTAATAGTAATAGCATAATAAAAGCTTGTCATCTGCTGGATTACAAAGTCAGTTACAAATTGAAGGGGGCATAATCTCTATCATGTTTATATTCAATCACCGATGTATGATGATTATGTTGATACTGCTCTTGAAGGATTTGGGAAGGGAATATAAATCCAACTTGGGACTCATTCTCAGACTGAAGAAGCCAGCAAGTAATCATTAAGTGATGAAGGTTACCCAAAGCATTAAAGCTTTGCTTTCTTTGTGCTATGTGACCAAATATACTGCTGTGCAATTCAGAAGGCTTCTTATCAAGTACCTTGAATAAAAGTGGTATAGGTGTGCACACCAATTCCCCTGCTTTTCATTCAAGTTCAAAGAAGGCAGCAATAACAAGTGTAGCTTTATTTACACAGGGACTGGAAAAGAAGGCTATATAATTAGACACTGGATGAGATATGTTGTTCTCAATGACGGTGGTGCTGATGGTGGGAGTGATGGTGTTGATAATGGTAGTGGTGATGGTAGCAGTGTGGTGATGGTGATGAGAAACATTGATGCTGTCAACTGCTCTTGACAAAGACTTCTCCAGCACTGTCTACCTTACAACAGGGTGTGGGAGGGGAAAGGGATACAGAACCAATTTCTAGTTATGGGCCCCAAACTCTGACTGAGTTGTTATGATAAAAGCAGGATAAGAAGTATATATGATATAATCATTATATTTGACTTTCAACACCAGAGCAGCAAGGAAATCTTCACTGCCCATATTCTCCCAACAATCATTGCTGTGCTGTCATGTAAGTCTCAGTGCAGCTCCATATGATGTCAACAGTGTGGAGTTTCATTTGTCAGATGATGAATCAATCTATTATTTCCATTTTTAAGAGGACCAAGCTGGAACTTATTTTATTTCCTAATTTAAAAAGTAGTCTAAAATTAATGTAATTTAAACCAAGTTGTTTTTTTAGAAGCAGAGTTTTTGTTGTTTGTTGAACATAGTCCATTCCCACGCAGTCAAATTATTTTGCTAAAACTTAAGCAGTAAGAAAAGCACATTTAGAGTTAGAAAGGAACTTAGTTTACACTAGTTCAACCCTTTCATTTTGACCCCACCACCTTATAACCTCGAAATCCAGGAGTGGACACATTTAAAAAGAAGTCAGCATTTTAAGGCTCATTTTTTTGTGTGTGTGAAGAAAAGATGATCACTTTATATGAAGAAATTATGCCATCACCTTTCTTTTTTTTCCTTTTCACCAGAAGTGGGAACAGAGTGGGGATGATACTACAATTTTGATCTTTTCAATCTCATTTGAAATCATTCTCTATGATTTAAGTTCTCTTGAAATGAAAAGGATAAATTGTGTTAACTTAGTTAAAATTGGGGGGAAAAGTTGATTGGACATTCTGTTGTCAAGGAAACCAGTTCTCTCTCTCTCTCTCTCTCTCTGTCTCACACACACAAAGCCATTTCATACAGTGCCCTTTAAACTCTTCTGACATTTTAAAATTATTTTAAAGCACTCAAGGTCTCTATTCTGGAAATCTGTATAAGAAATACTAAAGAAAAGTGATTCCTAGAATTCAAAGTCAAGCAGGACCTTTTCTGATTTAGGTGAAGCCACCATAATTCTGAGTCAATGCAGTGTCCCAGAAACATAAAAGATAGTTTCCAAGTTCAGTGCCAAGTCACCTATAGAATGAGACCACTAGAAAGAGAGAGCTAGAATGAGAACTTTAAAAAAGCAATAGAGGAGCACAAGAGTAAAAGGCAGGTAGACAGTTCAATCCCTTAAGCCTATATTAAGTACTGATCATACTTAAGAAGAAGCTATGCACTAAAAAAATAAAATAAAACAAAAATAAGTGAAGGTCAAGTTAAAACAGATCTTAGAGAGCGAGGTGGAGCTGCTTGTTATTCAAAGCTATGTCCTGCCTCCCTGCCCATCCATCAGAGGAGTACACCTCCCTCTCCTTCAGTGTCAGGCTTGGTCAAGTGACTTGCTTTGGCCTGAGCGTCACCACAGTGTACGTCCTGCCCTGATCTGGGGTTTAGCTAAGTATTGGTTTGATCAATAGGATGTAAGTTGATATGATGAGGCAGAAACTCAAAATGTCATTGCACCATTGGACTTGATCTCTTGAGTCCTTCCTGTTACCACGAGAAGAACCTGCCCATCAAGTCTGCTTTTCCAAGGATGTAAGAGCCAAGGTGCCCAGGTGAGCCTACTCCCCAGCAGATGCACCAGTAGGTCCAGTGGAGCTGTCCAGCCAAGCACAGCTTAGACCAGTTAACTCCAGTCAACCCTTAGACACATGGTAAATAATAAAATGCTGTTTATGTCACTGAGTTTGAAGTAGTTTGTTATGCAGCGATGACAAATCGATACAGAGAGCAGCTAGTACAACATCTTATTACTTTTTCAGGCCACATCGCAAGCCAAAAAGTAGGTAGAAGAACTTGGCCAAAATGGTGGGTCTTCTGGGTAGGGCCACTTCCATCAACAGTACAAACCTACCCCTCTCAAAAATGGGCTCTGGCAGGCCAGATGCAGTGGCTCACGCCTGTCATCCCAGCACTTTGAAAGGCTGAGGGGGGAGGATTGTTTGAGCCTAGGAGTTCAAGACTAACCCAAGAGGTTGAGGCTGCAGTGATTCATGAATGTGCCACTACACTCCAGCCTGGGCAACAGAGTGAGACTCCGCCTCAAAAAAGAAAGGCTCTGGGAGAGGCAGGTGTCACGCACCCTAAGGACCAAAGGGCTACAAACCACCAGATGCCTCTGGGATTTACAGAAACTACACGACACAACTTTAATGCACCTAAAAAATTATCACTGTCTGGAGGTCTAGGAAAAGCTATAGAAAAATCATCCTGTGACTGAGGAGAAACTGTGAAAACAGACTGAGATGCTGAAAATTGGTACAACTCAAGGCTATCAAATCTTAAAGAGTCAATAGCCTAAATTGTCCACCAGAATCTGAAATTTTAGAAATAGAGGAGCATATTCTGAAGCACAAAAAGGGGAAGTTCAGGAAAAATAAGGGGAAGGGCTGTATCACTTTACATGACTAGGAACTAGGGTGATCATATGTCTAGGCATATCCAGGACAGTTTTAGTTGATGCTGTCATCCTGGGGTAATGATTAATAGCACTTCCTTTCCCTTCCAAAAGGGAACTGGACTGAGTGATAGATCACAAGGTCAGATGACGGATGCCACCCTTCTCCCACAGGGCTGAGGCACCAGGTCCAAGTACGGTTGAATGAGCTCATGGACTGAGACCCGCCATGCATTGTCAAGGCAAATCAGACTGCTTATGCTTTGAGGCACAGAGGGCCACATGTCCCACCACAGCACACCCTCGCAACAGTGGCAGGAGACGCCAATCACCTGGCTCGGTGAGGCTGGAAAGGCTGGGAGGCTGCACCCCTACAGGCCAACACAGTGTCCCCTTGGATAGTCCCAAGGTCTTCTCTGGAAACCATGTCTGTCCTGCTGGGCACCCTCTTTGTGGGCCCTCAAAAAACAGAAACACATGTCACATTCCTACCTACTCTTGTCATGACTTCCACATCAGTTAACACATGAAGATAAAATGCAGTATATCGTAAAAAAAATCGAGTTTCTTCTTACCCACACAGAGGTCCATATCGTTTTCTGAGCTCCATTTGGCTTTCCCAAAAACCCTGAAGGAAACAGCACCACAGTAAGAATAAGATTAAGCAAAATTTCAATTATTCAAACTTATTCTGAAAAAGAATCTGGAATAGCGAGAACACAATTATATAAACAATAAAAAGAATTGAAGTTATATTGCTTTCAAGTACTTTGGAGTATTGGAATAAACAAACGGCTTTTAAAAAAGATTGCAAGTAAACGTCTTGGGCAGCTCTGCTTTAATGGACAGAAGGGATCATCTGTACAGCAACTATGAGTGTTCAATTGCTACAAAAACACTTGAAAACTGGGTTGCTTTCTCAACTGTAATGGTTCCCTCTGAAATCTGCCTTCTTTTATCATTATTACTTGGCCAAGCCCCTATTGATGAAAAGGGGCTCGGCCAAGTAATAATATGTACAAATTTCTACTGAGTCTATCTAGATTGTCACAAATTCTGAGTTATCATGATCCATCTACATTAAATTTTAATTAAAATAAACATATTCAAAACATAAGAACCTAGAGTAACTTTATACAGGACAAAATGCTAAACTGCCAGACAAACTTTATAATGGGAAAGAAGTGAACCTAGAGATGAATGTGGTTACAGAAGGGATGGAGCATGCTAGACCCTTTGTGCTGTAGGAAGAGTTGTGTAGTGAGGATGAAGCATGCATCCAGATATATGTGGAAGGCTGTCATATGGGTAGAGAATATGGAAAATGCTCATCATGTGGTGAGAAGGGAGTACACCTGAAAATATGCTTGAGTCGGGGTGGGGTGGGGTATGGAAAACGCTAAGCCTGTGTTATAAGAATGGAATATGTGGGCAGATATCTAAGGACTAGAGTGACGGTGGAGACTTAGGGGTTAGAAGAGGTTGCCGTCCTGCTGTCCCAGTCTCGTTAAATATACTGAATTTTGCAATGTAAGCTTGACATATATCAAGGAAAGCTTATATGAATTAAAAATAGTCACTAAAATTACTATGTTCTTGAAAGAGCTTGGCAGGGTTTGTACACACGAGGATGATGAGCTGGAAAGGAGCTTGTGTGGACTATGTCCAGAGGCAGGAGCACAGTGTTCTCCTCACATCCACAGTTAGGCTGTTTTCCTCAAAATGTTAATACCAAATTAGTTACTCAACAGAATACAACTGATCATTTCCCCTCAGAAATGTGTGAAAGGTGTTTTCTTTACATTCTCAATCTGCTTTGTTGTTCTATCTTGATGCTTTTAAATTCTTCACACTTCCAGGGTCTCACAGGAAGCCTCAAAGAGATAGGTGTTATTGGGCTTAGGGGTTGTGAACTTTCCACCCCAGAGAGAGAGATGAGAGAAGAAGGTGTTTTAAAACGCTAGAAAGACAGAAACAACAACAAATAGTGGGAAAGGTGATGGGCAAAGAAAGAACTAGAAAAGAAATTGAGAAGGGAAAGAAAAAGGAAAGAAATAGTTAGTGTTATTTTCTAACTCATGCCACGGCCTGGCCTTTCCGGGGATTGGGATGGGTGAATCCCCAAAGAGATCTGGAAGGGACATTATCAGGCTTAGCCCACATGTAATCTTCCTGCCTTTGTTTGGTTTAGTGGCTCTTCACATGCACAATCTGCTGGCTCCTGATGTGGATTCTAGTTGCAATGTACCCATGACTTTGCAGAATAAACCATCTGATTTCTGAGAAAACCCAACATGTGAAAAAAATAACCTCAGAACGGAGTCCTGGACCTATATCTATAGATACGTCTAGGTCATTTCCACTGCTATGTCACTCTGACAAACCAAAGGCAACATACTTAAAATAAAACTTGTCTTCTTCAACCAGCCGCCCCTCTCAACCTTTTATTTCTGTCAACCAAAGGCCATTTTCCCTGTTACCCTGACTCAAAACTTAGACTCCTGTCCTTCTCCTACTCCAAAATGTTGGCCCATGAGTAGTTCTTCACGCATCTTTTTAGCCTGAGGTGATCTAGCCTACCTTCCTCTTACACAACGAGATTCCCTTGGACTCTCTAGTATTTGGCTTCTAGTTGGTCCAAGTCGCTGGTGTACTGTCATGTTGGTACACTCAATACGTTCAGCTCCCCACCTAGTATGTGTGTCCTGGTCTCCATGTCTATGGTTCCTATGGGACCTCCTTCCTCAGAAAATCTCCTAGGATGATTCCAACACTAATAGATCACTCTTTCTTGTGGAGAAGGACACAGGCACCATTCATACTCCCAACCTAGTGCTTGGTGTCTCGCATCCAGGGCAATATACCCATATTTGATGGTGCACTTGAGGGCACAAGTAATCTACTTCTCCTGCCCTCCAGGGCCTAGCAATACTTGGACATTCAATACATGTTTTGGTGGACGGATAAATGAATGGATGACAAGTCTCAATACATGCTGGTGAATGGTTGGCAAGAGGAGTCATCGTCATCACATGAGAAGTTCCATGAGGGGAGGAGAGCTCTTCACATCACACAGCACCCTCATCTAGCCCACCTTTGGTGTGGGGACTGGGACAAGCATGGTGCTCCTTGCAGAAAGCCTGTCCTGGACTCAGCACATTTTATGATGGAAGTCAATGAAGGGTAGGACTTACCTGGTGGAAAAATGTCAAGTTTCCAATAAAAGGAGAAGGCTTGGGATGTCGGATGCCCAATTTCTCCAGTCTTGAGAAAGCCGATGTGGAGTACCTGAGGGGAAAAGCAAATTAAAACCAAGAACTTAAAGTTTGCATTCATGGTCTAGGCTTTATCGGGAATCTGAATTTTTGAGATCTCTGAAAGTAAAGACAGAAGAATAAGTTGCCAGTTAACACATCTAAAGACTAAAAAAGTAGAGGCTTGGAGTTAGTTGAGTGAATGTCTCTTGCTTGAATATTGGGCTAGAAAGATCAAGGGATCCCATAACCTCAGGGTTGAATGATGCCTTAGAAATGAAGTAGTGTCACTGCCCCTCCCCCAGCAGAATTTCTGTTAAAAAATTGCTTTTAAAAATGCACTCTTGACTGGACATGGTGGCTCATGCCTATAATCCCAGCACTTTGGGAAGCCAGGTGAGAGGATTGCCTGAGCCCATGGGTTCGAGACCAGCCTGGACAACTTGGAGAGAACTCATCTCTATAATAAATCAAAAAATTAGCCAGGTGTGGTGGTATGTGCCTGTAGTTCCAGCTACTTGGAAGACTGAGGTGGAAGGATTGCCTGAACCCAGCAGGTTGAGACTGTGGTGACCATGAGCATGCCACTGCACTCCGGCCTGGGCGACAGAGTGAGACTCCGTCTCGAAAAAGGGGGAAAAAAAGACTTAAAATAAAGAATTGCACCTATCCCTAGTTCAGTCCCTCTTCTCTAAATCTATCATGAGCAATTGCTCAGAAAGCGAGGCAGAAAACTTAACAATGCCATAGCTCTCCATACAAATCTGTGTATTTTCTTGGTCAAGACTCACTGCCCCCCAACACATAATTTGTCCCTCACCACATTCCAGGGCCTAATAGAAAAATATAAGAAATAGGGTGGAGGGAACACACAGTGAGGAGGAGACCCTACCACCAAATGCTTACAACCTCCTAAGTCTTTGTTTTCTCTGCCCACAACCATACGGGAAGCATATTTTCTTAACCAAAAATCAGGAAGCGTGGTCCGACAGATTTCTGTGCCACTTTCCAGGAGAAAAAGACCATCTGAGAAGTGCAGTATGGCTGTCAAAACATTGGAATTACTAGGGTATTTCAACAGTTTATAGGAACAGAGGGATAACACAGTTAAAGGCAGAACTGGCTTAGAAAAACCTGCACATATGGCTCTGATTCCTAACCAGCAATCAATTAGGTCAAAAGTTCAGTTAGTTCAGAAAAATTAATGAGTCAAAGTGTTTAGCATCATGCAGAGTTCAGCCAAATCACAATTAGGGGCAAGGAGAAACATAGGGATTGTCATGACAATCTGGCTGCCTAAGCGTTGGAACTCAAAAAAACACCACTGTAAGAACCACTCACTTATTAGAAAGATGGGGTATTTGCTATATTCTCTGACCTTTCCCTTTCCCATTTGTGGTCCAATAAGGAGGGCTTAAAATAGGAAAAACTTAGCAAATATTCAGGAAAAGAAAAATGCAACTTAAGTACTAGTTTGCAATATTCTGAGCAATGGGTCTACTTTTAAAGTAGCCACAAGGAAGAACCAAGACAAGACAGATGGGGAGGACAAGGTCTCCTCCCAGCTCTCCCAAGAGTTCCATCATAAGGCTGCATTATTAGGTTTCAATGAATTCCCAGCACATCACATTTAAGTCCATGTTCAAGTATAATTACAAACCACACTCAAGAGCCACGTGTGAATGCCGTGGATTAGTCATGCCAACGTTCCTCTTCATTAGTATGTGTACCAAAGGTTGACAGCACAGTTTGTAAGAGTTATTCTTTCAAGTAGACTCTGATGCTTTAAATAATTTCCCTTACACCTAAGAAGAAAGACGAGACTTATCAGTCCATTTAACACTTTCCTTAACATCCCAAAACCGGATGTCTATGTTCATTTCTTCATCCATTTTTGTGAATTATTTTCTAAATGTAATCTCTAATGGGTAGAAAAAAATATGTAGATCTTGGACCACATAATTACATCTTAATTTTGTAATTAGATGTCTTGATTATCTAAAGGACAAGAAGTCTGTGCCTAATTATACATGCTAATTATTATGCAAGTCCATGCCCTCATTATGTAACTCCACTTATGAAAATACTGCTCGTGTGTCTCTGCACAAAATTCAGACATTTTCAAACATATGCCATCAGCAGAGGGTGTCCTGGGCACAACCACAGACTTTACTCTGTAGCTGGGACTCAAGTATAGAACTTGAGCATCTTAGCCTGGACTCAAGTACAGAACTTGAGCATCTTCAGCTGGACATTGGCCAGATATTGCCAACAGTAACTAGAGTCTTTGTGCCCAAATCTACAGGGAGATATTACTGCCACCAGGTTTATGGGCAAAATTGCAAAGTGGGTTCCATTTGTCTCCCTCCTACTTCCTTCTCTGCAACCTTGTTTCATATTCTCTGGTCTCAGGGTCCTCATGCTGCCTTCTGACTGTCTCAATAACCTGGAATTCATGGAATCCATGGACCCCCACATGTAATGGGTTGAATTATGTCATTACAGATAAGTTGAAGTCCTAGCCTCCAGGACCACAGAATTGACCTTATTTGGAAATAGGGTCATTGCAAATGTAATTAGTTAAGATGAAGTTATACTGAAGTGGAGTGAACATCTAATCCAATATAACCAATATCCTTATAAGAAGATGGCCATGTGAAGACAGAGAGAATGCCAAGTGACTATGAAGGCAAAGAGTGACATGATGCAGCACATGGCAAGCTACATCACAGATCATCAACAACCACTAGACATGAGGAAGAGGCAAGGAAGGATTGTCCCGTATAGGTTTCAGGGGGAAAAGAGTCCTGCTGACAACTCAGTTTCAGGCTTCCAGCTTCCAGAACTATGAAACAATATGCTTTTGGGGGGTTTAAGCCATCAGTTTATAGTACTTTGATACAGCAGCCCTAGGAAAGTGATATACCAGGGATACCCATGAGTGAGTCTTAGAGGGTCAATGAAAAGATTCTTTTTCAGTTTTATCCTGTTACTTTAAAAATGGTCATCGTGGAAAAAATTTTCTTTTATGTTAAACTGTGTCATTAAGTCCTGTGCCATCCAGAAAAGTACAGGTGACCTGGGATGCCACTGTGTCAAGCAGGTGATCTGCAGTCATCATGCAATCACCAGGTTGCGATATTTAGAACAGCTTTTCTTTGATTGGAATTAATGCAAATGTGTCTCACAATTATGATTACGGACATCTGTCATTGTTTACATTGAGGGTTCTTAAGTTGGAAATGACAACGGAAAGTATACATAACTTCAGAGAGCATCCTTTGGTTTTATTTTCACAACTAAAGCAGTCATTACATGCTACAGGACACAAATTCCGCTGGGCCAGTGGCTTACCTTACACCATTCATTTTCAAAGTAAATTGAACCATACGGATCATTTTCAAGATAAGACTCCATTTTTAAAGGCTGGAACTTTCTCAATCTTTTATTTTCCTCATGACAAATGTCCTCTGTTGATGGGCTCAACCCGAGATGTTAGCCCATTGTTTAGCCAAAGAAGCCACTCATGATAAATTGGGGCATGCTTTGATGAATTACATATTAAGGAGATAGTCAAACTGATAGAGACTGGGAGTGGAAGATGGTGAAATGAGAACCTGCCTTCCTGGATGCTCCTCGCTGCGTAGCTGAAGCTGTCATGGAGGAACTAGCTACTCCTGTAGTGTGCAACTGGGGCAGCCAGCTCCTCAGCTCACTCATTTCATCCTCACCATCACTACCAAGAATTCCCACTTGGTGAGCTGTTTTGGACATTTCAGGAGCTATTGATGTCTTTGAAATGCTGAAAGATTCCTTTCAGCAAACTGCGCTTCTCCTAAGATAAAAGTCATAATGCTCCAAGAACAGGTGAAGCCCAGGGGTGCTGGGTAATCCCCTGTCCTACTCTTTGAAAAAGAAAAGCTCTTTGTCGTGGCTGCTCTATGCTTTCAATGTACATGGCTCTCATGGGCTCTACCAGCAATTCCATTAAAAGTCATGGCCACACTGGAAGTTTTATTAGAAATGGGGCCTTAAGTTGTTGTCTTTTCAAAAGATTTTGTTGAGAAATGGGAGCAGAACATGAGGTTTGCTGGTTTTTCGGAAGACACATCTAGAAGTGCTTGTCAGAAATTTGGGCAAAAAAACCCACAAAACTTACAACTATTGGAAGAAAGCCTACTCTCTTTTTATTGTAATTCTATCTAGTTTTTTCTCTGTGTCTTTCTTTTGTTTAAGATTATATTCTCTGTATTTTTTTTCTGTTTCTCCATATTTCTACTTTTCCACTTAACATAAGGAAAAATATTTCCATGTTATTAACCCTTTATAAATATTATTTTTATGGCTGTTTAACATTCCCCTTGTGGACATATCATGATTTACTATTCTTATTGTCAAATACTTAGAGTGTTTTTAGTATTTGAACTAACTTAAGTTATGCAACTACAATCCAGCACTTTTGTACTGAAGATTTGTGCACGAAGATATTCCAGACCTGAAAAACCATGAGTCTTTGGTTTTAGGCATTGGTTCACAATGCCAAACTGCTTTCTAGAAAGTTTGTCCCAACTAGTCCCACTGTTAGTGTGTTCATTTCACCAAATGCTCTCATAAAATTTTTTTCTGATTTGGTAGACACATCAGTGTATCTTGATGTCTGCATCTCTTCTTTCTAGACTGAGAGAATGCTTTTTGCCATCCTTTCTTCTCCAATTTCAAAAATAATTCCAAATTTTGAAATTCCTTCCTTCCCTTCCCTTCCTCTTTCCCAGCCTCCTCCACCCTCTCTCCCTTCCCTTCCTTCCTTCCTTCCTCCTTCTCATTCCCACCACAGTTCATCTAGGTGGCAGGCAGAATTATGTTACACCAACTGATTAAAGAATTCATTGGAAAAGGGGCAGTCATTGATAGTTGACTGTAGGCTGACTTCATGCACACATCTAGGCATGAAGAGGAAGATAAGCAGATGAATTCCAATTCGCTTAGAAAATAACCAACTGCAACGTTGTTAGTTGACTTTAACTTCCATTCCCT